CAAACCCGAGCGACCTAATAGGTCGACCCATAACTCGGACAAGACCCAATTTTTTTTTTTAAATATAAGATTTGAAACCTATTAGTATATATATTCTATGTTTTTAATAAAAAAATATCATGTTTTTTTAATATGGGATATTTGTTTAAATATTTCAACTTAAAAGGATAACATTGTATATTTTCAATATAAAATTTGAAGTTCTTTCATATATATACTTCATGTTCACGTGAAAAAAATTGTATTATTTCAATGTGGGATTTGAAACCTATTAATATATATATATATTCTATATTTCCAGGAAAAAAATCATGTTTTTTCAATATAGAGTAAAAAACCTTTTAGTTTAAATACTTTAACTTAAAAAGATAATATAATATCTTTTTAATGTAGAATTGAAAACCCTTTTGTATATATATTATATGTTTTCATTAAATAATATAATATCTTTTTAATGTAGAATTTAAAACCTTTCGTATATAATTATATTTTTTCATTAAAAAAATTATATTTTTTCAATATGGAATTTGAAACCTATTAATATATACATCCTATATTTTAGGAAAAATGTTATGTTTTTTAATATATTTTTTCAATATGAAATTTGAAACATATTAGTATATACATCCTATGTTTTCAGGAAAAATGTTATGTTTTTTCAATATGAGATTTTAAACCTATCAATATATATATTTTATATTTCAAAAAAAAGTTATGTTTTTTTAATATGAAATATAATTTTTTTTATTTAAATACTTAAACTTAACATAATATTTGTTCAATGCAAGGTAAAAAAAAATTAAAATATTTTTTTATATAATCTATATTTACATTGAATTTTTTATATGAAAATAATAATTTTTCTGGTTGATCTGGATTAATTGAGTTGATCCGGGTTAACACATAAAACATGGAACTCGGGCCCTTGACTGGATTTAATAACTATAATTTTTTCATTATCATTCTTCAATTCTTGACTCTATCTATTTTTTTAATTAAAATTTATTTAAAAAATAATGTTTTTAAAATTTTATTTTTTATTTAATTCCGATTTTGTATTTTCAATTCTCATCATCTTCAATTTGAAAGTTGAATTTTAGTGTGCACGTCTATTTGATTTTTGGTTAGATTTTCTTCCCTTTAATGTTGTAAATAATTAAATTTCAATATTAATTAAGTAGAAGTTTGTGCCTCGCTACCATATGATTCTCGACAGGATCCCCAGGGAAAAACAATCACAAATATTATCCAATTAAATACCACTGTTAAATTCATGAAAAAACCGACTAGATTTAAGATGGTATCCTTGTATTTAAGATAATATGTGAGAATATAATAGTAGTTGTTTTTTAAAAGTATTTTTTATTTTTTAAAAATTATTTTTAACATAACATATTAAAATGATCTAAAATTATTAATTTTTTAAAAACACATTTCCAAAACATAATCCAAAACATACCCTAAAATAGACAAGTCTTTATATATGATGATAATTTATTCAGTAATGCTCAATAAATAGGAAACCCAATCAGTAATATTTGTTGTTTAGTAACCAAATTGAGAATTTAAGGATAATAGTACAATTTCCCCTTCTTGTCAATAAATATTCTAAGATTATATTATAATTATAAATAAAACTAGAGATTTAGGGTAGATTCATTATATTGTTTAGCAAGATACAAGACATTATGAATTGCATGGTAGAAACATTATATATGAAAGTTCATTTTGATTCCTGAAGTTTTGACTTCTATTTGCCTAGTCTCTATAGTTTTTCAATTTTTATATTTGAGCCCCCAAATTTTATTTTTATCATATTTAATGATTTTGAGAGAGGAGAGAGAAGTTGTAGGAAAAGGCAGAGAAGAAAAAAACAAAATTTATTTTTATTTGGCTTAAATTTTTATTTTTAAAGTGATTATAAATCATTAGGGGTGAGAAATAAGATTGTCGAGGATTTGTATGGTGTTTTTAAGTGTTTTTTTTTTTAAATTAGATCTTAAAATTTAAAAACTCAACCTGGATAATTTAACCACCAGAAAAGCCCAAGAATTATTGCATCACACAACAACAATAATGTCATTACATTATTCATCATTGTTTTTTTTTTCCAATCCATCAAATTTCTCTCAAAACTATATAACAAAGGAAAAGTCTATGGAGTTTCAAATCAAATATTTAAGTTTCTCTATTTTATAAAAAAATAAAAAAAATCCTTCTCTTTTTAATTCTAACATGTTTTTTTAATATGGTAATTAGCCTATTTAATTTTTTTCGTTGAATTTGTTCACATTTTTTTGTTTTTATATGGAAATCTTCCAAATGCTAGAATGGAAGGTATTTTACGGGATCATAATGGCTCAGGGATCAAAATGTAATTCTCGAATCCAATTCACAAGGAAAACACGAGATTTATTTAATTCATATTTGTTTTTGCTATAAAAAAATATTTTTAAAAAAATTAAGTTTTTATTTTTATATTAAATTATTTTTTATGTTTTTTATTGTTTTTTTGGTATCAAAAATAAAATTTTAAAACATAAAAAATATTATTTTATTATAAAATTAAAAAAAAAACCTTAAAAAATACAATAATATTAAATAACCTCTAAAATCAAAACAATCACGAATCGGGGCCATGATTAGATCACCGACACTATCAAACACCCAGCAAGGGGGCAAAGTGTTTTTTTTTTTCCTTTTTTTTTTGAAAATACCAAAGAAAAAAAGCTGAAATATGCAAGAATAGTACTTTTTGCTTTTTTTTATATATAAAAATACCAAAACAATGCTCAGAGGACTGACCATAAAAAAAGAAAAAGAAATTCCTTTTCGTTTTTTTTTTTTTTATGGTGGAGCAATACACAATCAATGACCATACTAAATCCTATATTTTGTCATGCATACAAGAATATAGAAATGCAAAAGGACTTATCTCCCTTCATCTTTCTGTCTTGATTCAATTATGCGAGATCCTGTTTTTTATTAAAATTTAAATTATTTTATATTGATATGAAAATAAATTTAAAAAATTAAAAAAGTATTATTTTAATATATTTTTAAATAAAATATATTTTAAAAAGCATATAAAGTCAATCAAAAGGAAATGAGCGTAAACATCTGACAGGCTGGGCATCAAAGCCTCAAAAATCAAAATATTTATCTAGCACAAACAAGAAAACCAACTGAAACTCGAGAATGACCTCCTACCGTGACAAATAGACAGTCGAGAAAAAAACAAAGAGAAGAGAGCAACGGTAACAAGAGGGTGTCGGTACCCAACCCAGACTTATCTCTATCTGTATAGTATTATTGTAGTTTTTATAATTATAATTTTAAAAAATATTTTATAACAAATATTTTTAGTTGAGATTAATTTAATATTTATATATATTTAATTAAAATTATGATTAAAATTGATATTAAATAAAAAAAATAGTTTAAAATATTTGGTTATGAAATGTTTTTTAACTTAGATTTATAAAATAATTAAAAAGATATGGTAGATTTACATAATAAATAATATTTTATATAAAATATTTTTAATTATTTTTTTAATTATTTATAATTTTATCATGAAATCTATTCGATTTTTTTAATTATTTATAATTTTATCATGTATGAAATCTATTCAATAAAAATAACAGTTTTTATGATTTCTTCAGCGTGCAACAATATCAGATAAATAAATAAAATTAGGATTGTAATTAAATTTTGCAAATGCTACATTATCATGTGATATTTTTTTAATTTATATAGTATCATGTAATATTAAATATTAATTTTTAAATAAAATATAATTAAAAATATAATAATTTGAATTTTTTTTAATTACTTGGATTCAGTTTAGGGGTGAGCAAAAAAACCGAAAAACCGATTAAACCGAGAAAACCGGAAAAAAAATAACCGAAAAAACCGAACCGAAAAAAAAAACCGATTAAACCGATTGTTCGGTTCGGTTTTATAACCAAAAAACCGAAAAACCGAACCGAATCGAAACCAAACCGAAACCGAAAAAAAATCGAGCCAAACCGGAAAAACCGAGCCAAACTGATTTGAACCGGTTTTTCCCCTAAAAAACCGAACCGAACCGAAACCG